CCTAAAAAAGGGGTTATGTAATGCCAACTTCGAAGGTGCGCATATTTAAAGGAAAGAAAACGCATTATAGCATTTGAGTCACGGAAATGGAATCAAAAGTTCACTATTTTTTTTTTTTACCTTTTTCAAGTGTATTTATTGGAATTCCTCACAAATTTTATGTGCGAAAAGGATAATTTTCCAACCTGGCTGATGACAACTGCTGTCAAAAATTTATTCGCAAGCTGAAATGTCAAAGGTGCGAACGAAAGCTGGCTGTGACACGGAGTGTGTTCACGGGCATTGAGTGACTTATACACTACTTGGCGATAGATAGCGCTGTGAATAGAGCTGCCATTTTCGTGATTTTGGAACTAAAATTGGCTCTATTTTTCTAAATAGCTCCGAAAATTGGACTTTAGTTCCTAGCTCTTTTTTAGCTCTATAAATAACTCGTGCCATGAATTGCAACCGCCCCTGTGAGAGAAAGCTTCTAGTAGCGTTGCATCTGTCAAAGACTTTTGACACTCCATGCTACTAGAAGACATTTAGTCTGTTCCTTTGAACTTCGGACTAAAACCTGTGGAACTGTCAAACTACAATTTTACTATCTCAAGTGAGAGTAAAAGGAGAACAGATGCAGAAGTGCACGGGAGCGAAAAAACAGGAACTATTTCCTGTAAAAACGTCAGTCGGTTTGTTTACTTATCATTTGGACAACAATAGTTGTGTTTTTTTTTACAAATTATCCAGTAACTTGCCAGCAACTCTCCAGTAACTTTATTTCTAAGAATTCGCTCTCATAGAAAAAATTTGCAATAAAGTACGCGAACGCTTTTCCAGTAATAATTTGCAAGTTTCATGAACAGCTGATAAATTGGTTGTTTATTCGCAGCAAATTCCTAATAAAACAATATATTTTGTATTTAAATAGGTTTATTTTGTGAAATTCAACAATAAAAACCCACAAACAGTTTCCTTATTAGTTTATAGTCTGTTCCTTTGAACTTCGGACTAAAACCTGTGGAACTGTCAAACTACAATTTTACGCTCTCAAATGAGATTAACCGCCCTATTCCCACAGCACTGACAAAACTCAGCGGCTGACTATTGCCTTGACTACTGCGCCTGTCGTATGACAATTGTCAGTTTTATTGTTATGACTTACTGAGTAAGTGACAACGGCGAAACAATGTTTATATTGTGTTTTAGGCGCAGTAATTGTTACAATAGTCATATGATGAAATTTGTCAGTGTTGTGGGAATAGGGCGGTAAAAGGAGAACAGATGCAGAAGTGCATAGGAACGCAAAAAGCACTATTTCCTGTAAAAACGTCAGTCGGTTTGTTTACATGTCATTTGTACAACACTGATTTAGCTGAAATATCACTAAATAATTATTAAAATCTATACATATTCAAACATTTCGTTGTTTACTTCCATTTTTTTTACAAATATAAGGTACTTTGCTTTCACCGCTGTTAGTTTTTGCTTGCACATGCAAATCAGCTGATCGTTTGACACTTTTCATGGACTTACAGGAAAAAAAACTCCGGACTAAATCCTGTAGCTTCTGACTAGGAACAGTTGCTCAGTTACTCTCTCAAAAGTGATTCCACTTACAAATTTTATGTCAATAGGAACGACTTCCTGTAAGTTCTGACTAAATCCTGTAAACCGGACTGCTATTGGAACAGACTTATTGAGTCTTCGTCTCTCCCACAGGGACTCAAACGGTGGTCAGCAAATTATTTGAGTCAGTTAGTTTCACAGACGAACTCAACATCACAGGGTGGTGTCCTTTCCCCGCTTCTGTTTAATTAGTAGATATAAAAGCTCCACCAGAGACCAGAGGGAATCTCCATTATATCTTACGATGACGACTGCACGATAATGGTGTCCGGGAATGGATTTTATGACTTGTGATCGAAAGTAAACGGTTACCTCTCCGAACTTTCTCTCGCTTTTTCAAGGCAAGGAGCCCTAACCTTATCCCCTACCAATTCCTTGACAGAGTTCAGAGCCGGAACAAGGTCGTCCAGTCTCTAGCCGGCGCACCTATGGCAAATACTAAGAAACGTTGATGGCAACAAACAAGGCAATTGGGCGGCCGGTTTTAAGCTGCATATGTCGCCGAAGACCAGGAGGACGCAGTAGATGAAGCTACAGACCTGCAAAAACACAGCACTCTAGACCGCTACGGATAGCCTTCTGATTTCACGTCAGCGCCACCTACATGACGAGGCCCAAATGCTTTCCGTCAAGCTTCTTACCTGTGAGCGCCATTTTGGGAACATAGCCTCCACACGTGGACGAGGCATAACTTCGTCTGCCTCGGGAGACTCGCAGCACAATACACCAATTTCGCCCTGGGTACTGGAGCAGGCTAAAATACTACCTCAGTAGGATAATGCAGACGTGCCCTTAAAACCTACTCCATTAACGCCCATATCCCTCTGGTCCAACCAAGTCGGATTGGCACACTTCCTGGGCCTACCGTTAGTTGAACTTGACAACAACGATTGAGGGACAAGCCGATCTAAGCAGGGCTAAGTAACCCGCTACGATAACAACTACAACGTAACCGAAACCACACAGATCTATATCTGGGCAAGGACTGGCACCCCAGCTGATTCCTCAAAAATTAACATAGAAACGTTAAAGCTGTTACAATATAGATATAGATCTTGCCAAGGCGTTTTTAACAAGGTGGTGTTACCCGTATATAAGTAAAAAATTACACTAACAAATTACACGCAGATATCCAAGCTCCGCTGCGAAAGCCAGTGTTTTGAAAGCTATAATAACTTTGTGTGAAGCTTTCTGTAAGTCTGGTGTTGATGTTGCTTCTGGGATTTAGATTAGCAGTGTGTCTTGTGTACAACCTCGTTTGGTCTCGATTGGCTTGGAGGAGCTCTTTACAAATAAAACGGTATCTCATCACCTGGCGTCGCGCAGAAAATTTCACTTCCTGTGACGGAAAGGCCGCATTTGTCCCCTGGATTTGGCGCGCAGTTAAAATCTGGTCAATAATGGATTTATTAGTTCCGAAGCCTGAGGGTATCGTCGGTTCCATCTTTAATGTAAAAATTAAGAAGACTTATTATCCAGCGGTATTTCCACTCACTGCTGGATAGGCATTCTTATCATTTTGGCAGAGAACGCTACGTAAATGATCCTAGTAATTTTAAACAGTAAGCTCGATGACATCAGTACCAGAAGCTTTCTTCTTCTCACCCTGACTTCTTCGCCACCTGTGTATTATTTTACATTCGGGCACTGGGAAGATGCTTGTTCTGCCATGATTAAGAGTTGTATCTTGTATGCAGAAAGGTAGTAATTAGATCCTCGAATGGAACGCTTTACCAAATCTTCCGTCTATCAACACGTTTTTGATTCTGCCTGTTGATTCTTTGACCAGAGCACACTGAGTGGCTTTGCGGATGTTTCGATGCTGGTGTCGGGTACCACTATTCACCATGTTTCGTGCCGCAGCGAATTCTACGTTATCGGAGTTGATGTTGACTGAATTTTCTGACCGTTGAACTGAATATGCCCTAGCGTTAAAGTCACTTAGCCAGATTTTAGCATATGTGGCGGTAGCACAAATCATGCGCTTCCCGTGGCGCTTATGCAATTACTTTTTGGTCTCATCGCTCGCCTGATTTTATAGAATTTCGTATTGACGCCGGTAATGGCAATGAAACTGAAGAATCGCAAATCCTATATTAAATTTATGCACCATCTAATGGAAGCTATGTGTAAATAGTAGACGTCATGTTAATACTAACGCAGTTCATGTACTGCGGTGACGCTAACATTGTATATTTCCGGAACGTACTGCGGTTGGATAGATGTCCCTTTCTTACAGAGGCTCTGGACTTTCGTAGAATTTGCCTTGATCCACAGGCTGCAAAAAGAAAATGGTCCGAGTCGATGCTTGGGCCTCGGAGTGTACGCACGTCTAAAACACTGGAAGCCTTTTCTCGTTTTGCGATCCGGAGACAGCCATATAGCTTGCTGGATCTTCTTACATTATTATTATTATTTTTTTATTTGAAGGAAGATCCGTTCGGTGCACACCCTGGCATTAAATTCGCCAATCAGACTTGCACTTTGCTATACTAAAATTTCTTGGGCTACACAGCTGGGTGCCAATTCCTGTTCTGTGAAATCCATCACTTAACCTAAAATTATGATTCTGCTTTCAAAAGAAAGTAAATTGATTTGATCGAAAGTTTAATTGTTAAAAGGGTTTTTCACAAAGTTTTGTGGCTGTGAAAAAGATAAGTTGGGCACTTTGCTAAAAAACATTAACTTTGATAAATACATAATTACCCCTATTGCGAGTGTCGACTGGCAGTAGAATAGAAATTTGTCGATCGAGTCGATTATCTTTTATTTTGCTATTGTGTAACTTGATCGATAAAAATTTGTACTATTGTGAATGGTTGACTGAATTTTAAACAGCTGTTTGTTTGTTTACATTTGTTTCTTTAGTGTTTCATTTAAATCATTTTTAAAATAATTGCTTTTATTATAAAATTAAAAAAATGGATACAGTTGAAATATGGTTCAATTAACTTACTTTTTATCCCTTATACTTGTATAAATTTCGTAAACGAAAACTCCAACGACTCAGGAATAACAATAGACAGACGAGCGATTAAAAATTATTCGCAGTCGCTTATTGAGCGACTAGTCGACACTCATAATAGCATCGATAATCGATAATCGCTTAATAGTCGATTATCTAATGCCAGTCGACACTCGCAATAGGGGTGAATATCATTACATTTTGCTCACAATAACACAGTAGGGAGGCAAAAATATCACAGCTAAACGGCTAAATACGTAAACTTAATTTTGGCCTCTATATTACGATGGCGATTTCAGAAAATCCGTATCACGTCAAAATTTTGAGATATTTAGGGGGGAAGTTTAGAGTTGTGAAAGTGAATTTATTTTAGTAAAACAACCTTAAAACTGAGGTAATTATTAACAAAAAACCTAAAATCTAAGCAGATTTTCAAGCACCGTCATCTTGAAAACTAGAGCCAATCTGTAAGTTAAGTAAGATCAGTTATAAAAGCCTTTGCCCAGAAAAAAATTCAAAACCTGAGCACAGTGTTTTAAACGACGAAAAACTCACTTTCACAACTCTAAAACTTCTCCCCTAAATATATCAAAATTTTGACGTGATATGGATTTTCTGAAAACGCCATCGTAATCTAGAGGCCAAAATTAAGTTT